ACCCGGTTTCCAGTCTATCCAGCTTTAATTTCCTGTGAAGAAATTGTCAAAGCGAGTAATGATGGACCAGTGATCTTGAAGTTTAACCAGTTTACCTTAGAGGTCATTATACCGAGTTATCGGGCGTTTTTCCTGTGGCTTTATAATACCCGGTTACCAGTCTATCCAGCTTTAATTTCCTGTGAAGAAATTGTTAAAGCGGGTAATGATGGACCAGTGATCTTGGAAGCTTTGCTTTAGAGGTCATTATACCGAGTTATTTTGGGATTAAAGGGTTACATTTATATGTTTTTGGTATTAGGGGATTTCCTTCCTTATTTATACTGGTAATCATATTGTTGCCTGTGGTAAATTTTTTTTTTTGATTGGATTATATGATGATTTTGTCATTGATTGACGTGTTCTGATAATCTATCAAAAAAAAAAAAAATTTGTTAGATGTTTGAACATTGATATTTTCTTTAAATAAAAAAAAAAAATTGTACTATATATCAAAAATTTTTTATTTTTTTTTTTCGAGTTATTGTCAGATGCTTCTGATCGATTAATGACCCGGTTGTTTCCAAAAATGATCCTTTCAAATTTTTTTTTCTTTTTTTTTTTAACGTATTGTATGAAATAAAGTTCCGCAATATGCGATTTCGATGCTGAAATTTTAATCAAATATGCGAGAACAAATTTTCACCCTGTTCATTTCTGGATATGAGTTAAGATTATTGTGTAATGTAATATGAACTGTCTATATATTCTATTCTAAAGATTAATCCAAGAACCTGACAGATCCAAGACGATAGTGATTTTGCTCAACAATGATGTTTTTCGAATACCTTTATGGAATCACCATAACATCTTATTCTGAAAAGGATTTTATGAAGTTTGTAGAAGCGGAAAATTTCTTGTTGGTCCAGTTAACTCACACAATTGTTCATATTAGAAACGGCAACGCTGTGGAAATGTGGAGGTCATAAAAAATGAGTTGATTCTCGTGAGAAACTCTTAAAGACCCTTTTACGAAGTTCGATTTGGAATTAACAGACATTTACTTGAGATAATTTTGTGTTTGCGCGGTGGTAGCTTTTTATGTCATTTTATATTAAAACATATTAATTTAATTTTCTTAATTTTCTTTTTATTTTTTAGATCATTAACATCGCATCGACTTATTTAAATTTTATCTTTAATTTCGTTGAATCCTTTATTTTTTATTTTCATTTGATCTAAACACTTCGCTTGAGCCTTTGATTTATTTTTCATTTTCGATTAGGTATTTTGATTTATTTTGATTTAATTTTCAGATCTTTATGGGATGATAGTGGGAAATGTATGATATACGTAAAAATTATTTCATTTGATCGGGTAATAAACCCATATGTGTCTTTGACAATTTTTTTTTTTTTTAAAAATTATTTTGGTCATTTTGATTTCAAATTATAACAAAAAAGATGTCATTTGAGGTTATTTAAGTTCCTTTCAAGGTCACTGCCGCGAGAAAAGGTGTGTTTTTACCGAAATTAAAAATGAGAATAATTTTGAGTATCTTTATTTCAATCTTTGAAACCACGATTACTGCGCCAATCGGCGTTCTATAATAGTTAGGTCTTATTCTAATACTTCTATAGAAAAAAGGGCGAATTCCGGTCTACGTCATATAAAATCTATCTGGATTAAACTTTATGGTTCAGAGACAATATATTTTATCTATGCAATTTGATTCTCCAGGGACTTTTAATGGTTTCCTTTCCTAGCCTACCTAATATTTTCTTAAAAAAATTTTAGCCGAAATTAATAACTTAAACGTCCGATATTGAGAAATTTATATTGCGTCATGGATGTCAAAAGTAAAAGACGTGTATTAAAAACCATAGATAAAAATAAAAAAAAAGCTGATATCGGAATTTAAAATTTATATAAAAAATTTTTTGTCGATAGAAAATTGAAGGATGTGTGAATGAATACCTTTGGCTAATAAATTTAAGTTTTTAATGCGTCATTTTCCACAAAGAACTCAAAGAAAAAAAGACAGCATGCATTAAAAAGTGTTAATAAAACTTTTTTTTTTTTATTAAAACGTATCAATAAACCCAAATTCTAAAAATATTGTATGCAAGATTTATATATTTATATATCACATGATATTAGTATGTTTAATACGTAATATCGTTATAGTAATTAATAATAGAGATTTATCTCTAGGATTCAATATTAATAAAAAGAATCAATTAAATTCATTTACTATATTAAAAGTTAACTCGCACGATCAAAAACAATTCAATAAAAGAATTGTTAACTACTGGTGTGATCGGAAATTCTTCCTTTACAAAAAAGTTACTTTTTGAATGTAAATTAAAAATCCTTTATTATAATATTCCTCTAAATAATCCTTTATTTCTATCACCATCATCATTAGAAGAATTACTTGGTCCACAACGTCTATTTCTACCTGAACATCGACGTTTTGTTAACCTAATATGATTGACAAGGAATTAATGAAATCTATCGATGGTACAAATTAAACATACGATTACTTACAATTCAGAATCGACATCATCTCGTATGATAGATTTATCAAATGTAAGTGGTGAACTTGACACCACGGAAATTAAAAACAATAAAGTGATTATGAAAGGGAGAACGGAGAATTTCATTTTTTTTTAATAATTTTATTTTAGTATAATTTTTTTTTTATTTTGAGAAGGATTTTTTGAGTGAATACAAAAATAAATTTACTTTTTTTTACTTCAAGTTTCAAGAGGGTATTTATATTTTCTGAACATATAGAAAAAGTAATCGATCATAACTGTTCTTTGTTGGTTCATCTTGTATTAGTACTTTCCTATCGGTCCACATGCAAATTAAAAAATTGAAATTTCACATCCTTAATTATCAAACAAAAAAAAAAAAAAAGAATTATATAATAATCTATTTTAGGATAGGAAACATCGATCGGATAGAACGACATGCATTTTGCGGAGTAAGCGTGTATTTTTTTAAAATTTACAAATAAAATAAATAGGAGTTTAACTTATTTAGTTAATTTCAAATATCTGCAAAAAGTCCAAGTTTACATGATACATTTGAAACTATAGAATGGATTTTACGAAATTTAGTAACGAAAACATAAGTTATGAAAAGTAATCGATTTACGATTTATTATTTTTAAAATGTTTCAAATTTGAATCCATTTGGAGTTATAGTTTTTTTTTTTTTGTCCTGCAATGCTTATATATTGATTTGCAAATCCAATTTTGTTGAACAAATTGACAGTACCGTTTTAAGTATCGTATGGTAATTGCAGATTACAATTACAAAGTCTAATTCAAATAAGGAAAACTTAATAAGAATGCGAACTACAAAGAATTCCAATTTCTGAATGAATACTATAATGCATGCTTACGTCCAGCATGATGCACATTCATTCATATAGACATCTTCAATGTCCTCTTCCATACATGTAATCGCCTTGTAAAAGTAAAAAAAAATATTCATTTCGTCGGCACATTTTTTTTTTGACACGTCATTAAATATTTAATTTTCCGGAATAAAATAATGTGCCATTTTTCTGTTTTATCAGATTTTTCATCAAAACTTCATGATTATTGTTGAAAATTTGCCAATATTCTAAAAAGAGTAGATCTTAGAAGTGGTTCACAGCCTGTCAGCGCGTTAACAAGGTTATGGTTAATCATTATGATCGTACGTTAATATTTATATCAAGCATTTAGGACCACAGTTTACGACAAGCATGCAAGGAATGTAAACATATTCCTTTCACACATCTGTGAGATAACGCGTAAATTCTATCAAAATTAATCAGGAAGGATATTACTATAAGTTAGTTTAATAGCTGTTAGTTAAATGTATAATCTTTAAAGCTTTCATAGACTATTTGCTGGCGCAGTCGTTCGTATGGCTTCCGGTGTCAGAATCAATAGAGGTTGGGAACCGGTAAGGAATTTTTGGTCAGTTCCAACCTCTAGACTCAAGTCGTTCAATTCCAAGTTTCTTAGTTAACATTTTTTTAACTCAAAAATTCGATATCACTTTTTTTTTAAATTATCTTATAGATCTTTCATAGCAAATTGAACTTTCAGTAGAACAGTCTGGGCACTTTGCAGTAGTAAGGGTGACTGCTGAAAAAAATTTTGAGTTAATGTTAACTTGGAATATTTTACTTTCAATATCATATTTAACATATCAAATAGATTTTGTTCGTTTCCTTTACTGCAAAGAGCGAATCGCATAAATTTACAATTATTAGCCGCCAAAGTGTTTAGAATGCTCCAACGATTAATAGTTGCGATTATTGTATTTAAAAGAATATGATTTAATAAAGAATTTTTTGATGTTCGATTTTGCAGTTCCCAGAGTCTTCCTGTCATTTTGCTATTAGAGTTGGAATACATTCTACAGAAAATCCGAACTTGTTTAAGGTGAACATGATGTTGATGGAAAAATGATAATACACATATACAAGGAACCATACACTATATATTTTTGGTTTTACAATCACAACAAATCTATCTTTCACTCTTTAAATTTGATCCAGCAAAATGTATGGATGATGAATATCAAATATACCAAGATGTGATTCAAGAATTACAAAGAAAGGTTGGTAAAGAAGCTATTTCTATATACATTCAAGTTGTTGGGTATTGGTAAAATCAGTTATAGATGATGAGACTTAATGTTAGAGAGGTAAATTTTCATGAAGAAGGATGCGAAACAAATATAAATAGATATATATCCATATAGGAAATAGATCAAGTTAAAAAAAATTAGCATTTTTGGGTAAATGTTATAAAGTAGGATTGGTTTGGCAATAAGATCCATGATAAAAGATGTCAAAGGTAATATAATAACAGTGATTTAGGAAGAAGGAAATGGCATAATAATATTTTTAAGAATTATATAATTTAAATTATTTTTTTTTTTAAATAATTTTATTATTTTATTAACCGTAATTCGGCTACTCTAATACGTTTTGCGCAAGCATCCATCTTTATCTTCGATAGTTCAAACTCTAATTTAGAAATTTCATTTTTTTCTTTTGAAGTTGAGATTGTAAAGGTCTAAGGTTTTCATTAAATTCTTTCTGCATTTCAAAGTAGGAACGTTCTTTTTTTTTCAATTTTGCTACTTTCTCGGATGGAATGTCGGCTCCGCAACTCCGAGTGCCATCAATTCACCACTTAAAGTCATTACGCTCCATAGAGTTATCATATCATATTTACATAATATCAACAATAATAGTTTACGGAACCCGTTATAACAAACAATCGCTTAATTTTTGATTCCATCAAGAAAATTCGGACGTGATTATTTCGTTTTTTGGGTGATAATTCAGTATAGCAGAATATGATTGGTTCATAAATACCAAAAATGTGATTGGATGTTTATCATTTAAGGAAATCATTTTTTTAAGCATTATAATAGATTGTGTAAATGATTTTAAAAAGCTTAAAATAGCTCAAGATATATTAATTAATTTATTAATATTTGAAAAATAAAGTTTGATCAACTCAAGTTAATCTTTTTATTTGATTTAATTAAAAGTCGCCTTCATAGTAAAAATATCGTCTTCAAAGCTCTGGATGCCTTTACTAACGTTTTCATAGTTTTCATAGTAAAAGTTGCCTTCGGAACTTTTATTTACTTATTTTACCACCATTTGAGTTAGTAATTACTTTAAAATAATATGTTTGATTTGATTCGAGTTTGAAAAATTCGAAAATTGATTCGAGAATATTTAGATTTGATTCCCTGATTGCAAATATAATCGATCCTTCCGTCAGTAATAGTTATTTACCGCGAAATCAGAGAAATCATCAGGGAGCCGCGATCCCTGTGAAATCGGCGATTGAGCAAATAACTAATACATTTCATGCGCCCGCTGATAAATTTAACTTTTCTTATTATTTTTGTTTCCTTTACTCTAAAATTTACACAATTTAATATTGCCCTAAGCTTCTAAATAATCCACATTTAACATCAAAAAATATAGAAATTCAAAAAAAAAAACAATTTTATTTTATTAAAAATGAAAAATAAGAAAAAAGCAACGAAAAACGGCTTAATAATTTCGATACATCGAAATAATGTTGCGTATGAAAATATATCAAGATTTCAAAATTCAAAAACAAGAAATTAATGGATTAATGCAGCAATATCATATTTTACGCCCTAATAATAATATTTAGTGAATGCTGTTTTCAAAGATGTTTTTAACTAGGCTTTTTTTAGCCATGAATGGTTAAATAAAGCCTAGTTAAAAAAACATCTTGAAAAATGACATTCACTAAATATTGTTGAATTTGTAATGGATGCATATTATAATTTCGAATTTGTTGATCAAATTTCTTGTTTTTAGAATTTTGACGTAAATTTGTATTTTGTTATTTTGACAATAAAATTTTTTTTTTTGATTTCTATATTTTAGGTGTTTTAGATGTTAAATGTGGATTATTTAGAAGCTTAGGGCATATTAAATTGTGTAAATTTTTAGAGTAAAGGAAACAAAAATAATAAGAAAAGTTTATTTTATTGTCGGTTCCTTTTTTATCACGGGCGTTAATAATCATGAAAATATTAGTTAATTACAATCTCACAGAGATCACGGATCCCTGATTATATCTCTGATTTCGCGGTAAATAACTGTTACATATTGGATGTTTGTATAATATCCCATACCCCTTTAAAAATTAATCTTAATTAAATCCGACCCATCGAAAAGTACGTCGAATTTCATCCGTAATATAAAAATGCTATTTGATTTACTTTCAAAAAAAAAAAAAAAAAAAAAAGACAAAATAGTGATTCTATAAATAAATTACTAATATTGTAACATACAATTATAATATTAAATTTTTTTTAGAAATAGTGTAAATGTAAGTAAAAATTTTTAATAAGGAATAATATTATAATTTAATATTTAGCTCAACTTGGTTAATAGCATGCTCCAAAATTACGAAAAAAAATTTTTTTATTATTATATTTTTAAAAATAAGAAATCTACACCGTCACCGCGGGACGCTAACCTTTAACCTTTATCTAATCAAAAGACGGTGACAAGACATAAAATAAATTCTTTTGAAATTTAAATTTATTCTAATAAAATAAATATGTATATAATATATTAAATCCTTTTTTTTTTTTTTTTTTTTTTTTTTTTTTGGAGAATTAAATAATATTTTGATGATCAATACATAAAAAAGAACTTAATGATCTACTTGTATAAATAGCTTCTGGATGTGGTTTGCTGGCAAGTTTCTTTGTACTTATTAACTCACGTCTTTTTATTTCAGCCTGATTAAAAATTTCAGCGTATTTATCTTCAGAATGCCAATGGCTCAATGTTTTGCATATTTCTGTTATAGAAGGTCTTTTTGATGGAGAAGGGTCCCAACAACTTTTCATTAAATCAGCAAACAATTCAGGGGTATCTTCTGTAATCTCGGGACGAATTCCGTAAAGAATATCAAGTGTAAGTTTATTATTGTGCTCCACGTTTTCAAAAGGTCTACAACCCGTTGTGAATTCCCACATGATCATCGCCATACTATAAATGTCAGACGCTTTAGAATATCGAAACTTTCTAAATATTTCTGGAGCGATATAAGGTATCACACCATATATATTATCAGCTGGTAAAATATCATTTGCAGGCTTTAATAAACCTAAATCACCGATTTGCCATTGATTTTTGGAATAATTGGATTTCACAAACAATATGTTCCCGCTATGAAGATCTCGATGCACCAAATTCGCGTTGTGAATAATTTCAAGCCTGAAGATAAAGAAAATTTAATTTAATGATTCACTGAACATAATATTGCACAAGATACATACCCTATTGATATTTGATATAAAATATATAGCTTTCTGCTCCATGTGATGTTATGAAAATAATTTTTTAGATAATTATGTAAATCGCCTCCTGATGCAAATTTCATAACCAACATGTAATCTTTTGTTTCAGGATCTCTCGTAATCCCATAGCACCTAATAACATGATAAAATTTAGAACAATAATAATGTGACTTTAACTATATTTGATAATATATGAAGCGGTAAATTAGAATATCGATTCTCAGGTAAAGAAAAAAAAAAAAATATTTACAACTTTACTTACTTACTTCATTTAAAAATTCTTCGATAGAATTTCGGGAATTTATGATTCTCTTTACAGCAACAATCTTATCAGATTTTCTATGACGATACTTTATATCCGACCAAATTGCCTGGTATACGATACCAAACCCACCATGTGCTATTTGAGTTGACTTTGTGATTTGTGATGATGGGATCACCTTGATAAGGGATTTTGGGGAAACCTTACTATGGATAAATTCATATATATCAGAGGGATTGAAATTCTTATCAATATTTTTTACATATTCGCCAATTTGAAAGAATTTAGAGTTGCGAAGAAATTCGTCCAGGTTACTATTCCCACTACTAATATTCGCGTTCTCAATAATGACATTTAAATTTCTTTTGCATTTTTTACATTGAGATTGATCTGTCAATCCGAAAATAATGTTTGTAGTTAAACAATATCTGCATCCGGTATAGAATACATAACAACTCGCGCAATACTTTTGACAGTCTGACGTAAACTTTAATATTTGATTACATGCGATACAACAGTAGGAATTGAACCACCACGGCAGGTAAATAGTTAGGGTGCGTTTATTGGACATCACCTCATAATAGATCAGATAACAATCGGAACACAATCGAAAGTCGATAAACCTCGAAGGAATCCGTCGATAAGTCAACTTTCCACATAACTTGCAATGCTTTTCACTCTCGATCATCTTATTTTTAATGATGTCGTGATTATTGAAGTTATTGGGGTTATAAGTGACGAAATATCGTGTCGGTACTTGCTTAAAGCACCACTCTTGAACGGTGATTGGCGTGAATGGATTCGTCGTATATGCATGTACATCCAAATATTTTTTATAATCGGTTACGTTGTTAATATAACGTAATAAGCACCTCTTGCAATATTTTTGGTAAAATAAGAGCGTTTCCGAATATTTATCATTGCATTTGAAACAATTAATATCCCTATAATCAAAAGGGAAAAATAAAATCTTCTCAAGGCTAGATATTAATTTTGGTGTTGGATCACAAGGGTCATTTGCAGTTAACGGTTGCATTTTTTTTTTTTTTTTTTTTTTTTTGTATTATTCATTGAAAATTTATTGTAAATATCAGACTTTTTATAGCTTATTTGAAATTAGTCAAACTGTGTGACGCATGAGTGTTTCTCCAAGTTATTTTAAAGAATGTGAACCCAAACTCTTTTGTTTTGATTTGCTTTTTTTTTTTTCCTATTAAAAAAATAAAAACCAAATATTTTCATCAAGTTCAATTAAATCGAAAATTCTATGGTAAAAATCGTTTGATCCTTTCATAGGTTACTTAATAGGGTTTCTTTAAATGCCGACATTTTACCGTGCATTCATGTTGTCTTGTGCACCGTTGGACCAAATGGTTTCTCAATTTTGTATGAAACGGGAGTGAACGCATTTTCTCATATCCCTTTTGTGTACTATTTATATCATTTTATCAAGCTTTACTCAATATAATCTATTTCTTCCCACGGAAAATGTCACCTGTAAATGCTGCTAGTATATTTTGAAAATAATGATACGTTAAAAAATGCGGGGAAGTAAAAAAAACTGTTCAAAAAAAAGGTTAAATTTCTTCACCAGTTCTTGAAAATAAAATCAAATTAATAAAAAATAAAAATAAATGTCTACATCCACAACATCTAAAAGAAATTCTTTATTGAAATAAGTTTTTTTTTTGTTAACCAAAATTCATTCATAAAATTTGCACAACATGATTTATAAGCAAACACAAGGTCACAATAACAATTTCATCAATAGAATTATTTTTCAATGGGCGTATAAACAAAATTTCAATATCTTCAAGTCCGCGTTCAAATAAATAAAAATTATTTTATTATGTCTTTCGTGTTTTATTT